CCAAAAGGTAGCGTACAATCTCAGACGATCCTTCTCTAGTATACTGAAAATCACGGGCAGTAAAACTCTGGATACCTTGATGTAATGTGAAATGCAGTCCAACCATCTTTATTGCAAAGCTGGAGACTGGCGCCAAAACTTATTAGCAACTTTATGGATTTCATATGATTTTTTGAACAGGCCAGCATCAATGGTGTCCTACATTATAAAAATTATAAAAAATATATATATAGAGTCTCTTAAGTAATATTGACAATTTTTGAAGGTATAAACAAGTTAATTAACATGGTCTCGGACCAAATTTTGCCAAAAATGTCAAGTAGAAAATTCTTCATTTTTATAACATTTTCTGATACATATAGATGTTCTTATGTTGTGTAGCAAGTTTGAGTTGATTCCGATCAAAACTGAATTTTTTACAAATTTTTAAAAGTTACTCAAAAATTGGGTGAAAGTCTCTGTCCTATTATAGTACAGGGTCTTGGGCCAAATTTTGGCAAAAATGACAAAGAGAGAATTCTTCATTTTTATAACTTTATCTGATGCATATACATGTACTCATGTTGTGTAGCAAGTTTGAGTTGATTCCGATCAAAACTGAATTTTTTACGAATTTTTAAAAGTTACTCAAAAATCGGGTCAAAGTCCCTGTACTATAGTACAGGGTCTCGGGAAAAATTTCATCAAAATTGAAATAGAGAGAATTCTTCATTTTTATAACTTTATCTGATGCATATACATGTACTTATGTTGTGTAGAAAGTTTGAGTTGATTTCGATCAAAATTGGATTTTTTACAAATTTTTAAAAGTTACTCAAAAATCGGGTCAAAGTCCCTGTACTATAGTACAGGGTCTCGGGAAAAATTTCATCAAAATTGAAATAGAGAGAATTCTCACTTTTTATGTTGTTACCTAATACACATACATGTAGTTATGTTGCATAGAAACTTTGAGCTGATTCCAATCAAAATTGAAATTCTTATTTATTTTCAAAGTTGGCATATTATAATTAATAATAATAATAATAATAATAGTTTACCAATCTCCTCTTTTAAGTGTGTCTACACAGCAGTTCCCTTCACTAATTAAATATTCAATACAGTCATTATGTCCGTTCTGTGCTGCATCATGCAACGGTGTCTTCCCCTCATTGTTAGTTACTTTGAGACTCAACCCATACCTCACATGGAGCTCTCTTAACAGTCCAACATGGCCATGTCTCGCTGATACATGTGTACATGTGTCGCCGTTACGATTAACGGCAGTGACTTGTGATGGTGAGCAGGTTAGTGGAAGAGCGCCATTTTCTATTATGTATTTATGTATTTCTGTCACTGCAAATAATGAAATTAAAAATTATTACAATTAAAGTGAGATTTACTTTTTATTTTTGATTGATACAGCACGCCCACGCATTTGAGCCCCTCCCACGATAAAAACCAGCTCCACCCTATTGAAAGTTTTCTATTGATAGAGGCGCGGTTTTTGTAGTTCACTCTTTTTGTAGTAGCAGGACAATCAAATCAAATGTCTCTTCAAAAGATATTGGTGGCTGTGTTTTTAGTGTTTTTCGGTTGCTGTAGTAGTGTAGTACTGCTGGAACTACTCATCAAGTAAGGGACACATTTTATTTTTAAAATTATATTTAATTTTAGAGTTTTTAAAAAAATATATAGTACACTGACATTGTCTGCTATAAAAAATATTTTGTCTTTCCTAGATATGACACGGGGTCTGGTAATATTATAACCTTCTCCCAGTTCCTATTTATTGCTGTCGAGGGATTATTTGTTCATTCAAAATTCTTTACAGTCAATAGGGCGATTCCGCTCAGGTATATGAATTTTGTGAGCTGCAAAATAAGTTTTATTGATGCAATTTATTTATTTTGTTTAAAGGCAGTACTTGATGATGGTTACGGTGTTTTTCTCTGTCAGTGTAATTAATAATTATGCACTTAATTTCAACATACCTCTCCCATTGCATATGATATTCAGATCAGTAAGTTAATGTAATAATAATAATGATGTTAATTAATAATATTAGGGGTCACTGTTGGCAAATATGGTATTAGGAATTATCATTATGAAGAAGAAGTAAGACTCTCTTTTTGATACACACACATTGTGTAGTATTTTGTATTTTATAAATGTTGCATTTTGTTAATTTTTTGTAGATATCCATTGTCAAAGTATGTTGCAGTCGCAATGATAAGTATAGGAATTGTTATAGCAACACTGGCCTCCACTGATACTGTAAAACAGGTAAAAAAACAAATTCCATTAGACCTTTTTGTAACTATAGTGCAATGTCATAAAAATGGAGAATTCTCTCCTAGCCATTTATGACGAAGCACCCTGTACTATAGTGCAGGATCTTTGGCCAAATTATAAGCAACTAAATAAGTTTGTAAAAATTCTGGTTTAGATTGTAATTAGCTCAAACTTTTAATGGAATTATATATTATTTATTTATTTGTTTGTTTTAGGAGAAAGTTCTTGAAGTAGTTGAAAAGGATGATTTGGTGGTTGAGATTGAAGATGATATTGATTATGTTCAAGATGATTCTGATTTTATGAACATTGTTTGGATGACAATAGGCAAGAGTGTATTACAATCATCATACATTAGTTCATTATGTGTGTAGGCGTATTGATGCTCTCATTCGCATTATTCATGTCAGCAGCAATGGGTATATTCCAGGTAAGAAATATCTTTGAATTATTTATTGTTTAAATTCTAAAAAAATTAAGTTGTAATTTTGTTTTTGACACCTTGTTAACACCTAGAGGTGCAAACAGAGGTGTGAACAAGCTTGTAAAATTAATTTCCTGCTTGCCTCATTTATTCATTGCAAGACTACATAAGCAATTATTATGATTATTTTTACTTCTAGGAAATAATGTATAAGAAATATGGAAAGCATCCAAAAGAGGCCATGTTCTATTCAGTTAGCTTGTATTGATTCTCTTTCATTAAACCCTTCTCTCACTCTCTCTCTTTTCTTAACAGCATGCATTACCATTGCCTGGGTTCCTCATATTTTATTCTGATCTTTATAAAAGAGTTGAGCTTTTTAATGCATCAGGTAAAGACCACAATAGCATATCACTAACTCTCTGCTTCTCTCTCTCTCTAGATCCAGTAAATATTGGTATCATGATAATCCCAATTATGTGGATTTATCTCTTCCTTAATGCATTCTCACAGTATCCATACCACTAAATTAATTCAGTTTCTCTCTAAACTATATTATATTTATAATCTGCAGCATGTCTCTAGCATTTAAGTATTATATAAATATTAGAATTACTTTCCCTGACTATTATTTTACAGGTATATGTGTATTTCTGGTGTATTCGTTCTTACAACTGAGTGTCCTTCACTGGTGGTTACATTAATCATTACGCTAAGGAAATTTGTGTCCCTCTTGTTTTCTATCCTTTACTTTCAGAACCCGTTCACAACCCTCCATTGGATTGGGACTGCATTGGTTTTTAGTGGGACCTTACTCTTCACTGGTTTCATTCAGCAAGTACTGAGTTATTTTTTCTCAAAGGAAAAAGCTGAATAGCTCCAATTGCATTTACTGACATTTATTATTTATTATATATGTATACAATACACTGTAATTTCTCAATTGACAGTAATACTAACAATAATTACGATATTAAATAATAAACCTCAGTTTATATGCTATTAACTTATTTCTCTATGTCAATCATGATGATTGTTAAAACTATAATTTGTTGACTTCATTTTATAAGTTGGGTACACTATTATAATGGGCAGCTAACAAAATAATAGATTCACAATTGAAGAACACAAACATACAATTATATAATAACGACAATAATAATATAATTTCTACAGATAATGCAGTAAATATGTTGACTAGAGTGACTATGTTAAATATTCAATTCCAGCTTTTGCTTTTTCCATCTCGTGTAGAAACGAATAAAATTGAGGAAGAGTTAGTTCTGCGAGAGAAAGAGAGAGAAAAACACATTTTTAGCTCACTTAGCATGCTTTGTGAGAGCCACTGTGTGTGGATAGTGTGTGCTTATTTAATATTCACCCATAAATACTTCTTCTGTTTTGATGCCTTTGTCTAGCACAAGTTTTAACTAAAAGTAAATAAGATGTATGATTATTGTTGATTTGAAGTTTTATCATTTTTACCTGAAGATACGTATTGCCCACTTTTTTCATCTCACTATCAGCTGCAGTCACTATAAATAATTACACCATTAGATCACATGTGAGACTGTGAGAGTCACATGATAGTCACATGACTCACCTCCAAACCTCCACTCCATGTCCACCAACTGATTGACAGTGAGGGACTGGCCCACGGCAATCTTTGAAAACGTTCCAAGGTTTGTTTTCCACTGAGCTGCAACCCAGGACCCCTTCTCTTCAGATAATCCTGGAACCCCCAACGAATTGAAATAATAATTAAACACTCTTCCTTCTTTCTTTCCCTCACCTAATTGAAGTAGATCTTCCTTGAGTTGAGTAGGAGGCAAATTCCTCTTGAGAGCTGCTTTGAAAAAGTAATAATCAGTCAAGAAAAATTACAATAAAAAAATAAAAGAGTAATTAATTAAAGTGTGTGTGGGTGGATATAACTAGGACGGTCTTGATGAGGTTTTTCAATGCTCCACTGCCAAGGCCATTGTCTGAGGCAAACTTTTCCAAATTACTAATGAACTGAGAAGACTAGAGAGAGAAAGAATGGAGGGAGAGAGAGAGAAAAGTGTCATTGCAAGTTTTTTCTTTTACTGTTTGTGGTGATGCCAGGAATTCAAAAACCAGCACCATGAGAGTCTGAAACTTCTAATGGAGGAAGGAGAGACGCTAATGGATTGTTTTAGCTGCCATTACCTCGTCTTGTAGCTTGTTTAAGTTGCCAAAGTCAGTATAAAACTGATCCTCTACTGCCTCTCCTGAGAAGTGAAGCGCCATTTTAAAAGTGGGCGTGGCAATATAATGTGTGGAACTGAGCTTTGCAGAAAATTAATTTAAAAAAAATTAATTCTTCTTTATTTAAAAAATAATTAATGAACGAAATAAAAATATTTCATTTATCACGGAATTCTAGATGTCTCTTGGACTTTCGCTCTTCTCCTCCTGATGACGTTTCAGGAGATCTCGGTCGCTTTAATTTTCCCGGAGTACCATAAGGTGTATTACCAACTCCACCTTCACTCTCGCACTACAATCCACACAGTGTTATGATGCATATAATACAATGTCTTACTGTGTATTTTTTATTGTCACACCATTTAGCAAAACACCTACAGCAAGCAAGAGCTCAACATAGTAGTCAATATAGTCTTACCCAATTGCAATTTCTCTCTTTTTTTTGTTGCATTCGTCCTCACAGTACAAGAAAATTTGTATTTCCTCGTAAGCCTTTGGAAACATGGCTGATACCTGCTCACCTACCATACGAATGGCCTCGTCCGGTTTATCTTTTCTGAAAAACCACATCTTTTGAAATGGATCGTCACTATTATCCTTCATACAGTAGTCAAATTTTACAACCTATAATTAAAATTAAAACAATGCAAACAAAAAAGCTAATTCTCAGTCATAAAAATTGAAGCTAACTGCAATGCGAATGTCTGATTCTTCCAGTGTAAGGTTTTCTGGTTTATACTTCAAAATTTCCTTTCTAACCACCTAATGAGAATGATACATGTAGCAATTAATGTAAGCATTTTGACCTCCTCAGCTGGTTTTCCATCACTTGGTTTCACGATAGCCCGACCTAAATAATTATAATGCCTCCTCGTATGCAACTTGTGAATAATTTTTTGAGCCTACAAAGATAAAAAAATGAGTACTGTATAGCAAAGAAAATAATTAATGCATACCTCTTCAAGCCAGGGTTTCTTTGGTAGCATCATAATAGTCTGAAAAACAGAATCTGTCAATAAAGTATATGCAGTCATATCTTTTATAGCCTCAGAAATTGTGAAACTAATATAAAGTAGTATCATTAAAATGATAGTAAAAAAATACTTTTACCAAGCATCCTTTCCAGGTATAGTAAAATTCTCATTATCTATTGCTTTTAATGCTTCACTGATCCTATTATTAACAGTATAAATGTAATTGTAATTGTAGCATCCTACTTACATCATTTCTACAGCAACTTTAGTCTTGTGCTGATATGCTCTTCTGTGCAAAGTGTATCTTGTGTGAAACATCTCATACAAATTGTGTGCTTCCTGTGATAAGATAAAGATAAAGGCAATAGACTAAAGAATCCTTCTTACTTTGTCTCTGCTGCAGATTTGCAAACGATCCCCATCAACTTTCATGACTTTAGCAAAGGCTATGTATCGCTTATAGTCAAAGTTGTTTGCAATCCCTAGACAATGGCAGTCTCTTGCAAAATAATCCCATTTGTCAACATCAATACCATATATTTCATTACTTATAATCTGTGTAAAATTGTAATAATCATAAATTAAAATTCCCTCACCTCATACAAAAAACTTTTATTTTTGTTTCGACCTTTACAAGGCCAGTTGCCATCAACAGGCTTTGGAGGTTTAATCAATTCTTTAATGAATATTAGATCATTCTCATGTAAATTGTTCTCTTTGAAAATTGGCCACAGATTGTTCTCCTTTATCAAATGATCTAACATGTCCTTTGAAGCATTTTCATGCTTTGATTTTTAAAAGAAATGATGTGAATGACACTCATTTTAGATCTACCTTCCAGCCACTCTTGATGAATTTCTGATCAAAAACGTGTGAAAAAGGTCCATGCCCCAGATCATGACAAAGACCAGCAATTTGCACACACAGAACATCTTCAGTACTTATATTAAGCTCTTGCTGTTTACTCTGGAGAGTTTTAACAAACTCTCCAGCTATATAGCAAACACTATAAAAAAGAACTCGGTAATAGATCTCATATCTAGACTTATCTCACCCAATGCTGTGCTCAAATCTGTTGTGTGAAGCTCCTGGAAACACATAGTAGCCGCCACCTATACAAGAATCATAAAAGAGTCTGGATTTATACATAAATTTGATACCTAGCTGTTTAATGTAACGAAGGCGCTGAAACTGAGGTGTATCAATGATGGAAACAAGCAGTGGATGTAGAGTAATGTGGCCATGAATCGGATCATTGAAAACCTAATAGAAAAAATCAAAATGCACTACTACGTGTATACATTACAGATCTACTTACTTTCCAATCTTTAGCTGTGCCTGCTTTCTCTAAACTAGTCCTAGGGGGAGAAGAGTTCCTGTCAGTCATTTTTTCTTACCTTCTCAGGGGCGCATTTAGGAAAATCAAAAAGGGATTCGAGGGCGCGCAAAGGGCGCCGCGCCGCGATTTAAGGCCTTTTCACACTGGCTTTCAAAGCGCTTTGTTGATACAGCTGAAATAATGCGCATTGATCGTGTTCACACTAGCAGCTGAATTATGTATCATTTTGTGTTCTTGTTGCCATTGGTTTACATTGATCGAAGCGCATCACTTCACATCAATCCACCTCTGGAGGTGAAGTGAGACTGATGCGCATCAATGCGCATTAATTGAAAACCACTCTAGTGTGAACACGATTAATGCGCATCAATGCGCATTACTTTGGCCAGTGTGAAAAGGCCTTTATAAGGCCTTTTCACACTGGCACAGTTTTCAAAGCGCTTTGATGCGCTTTGTTGATACAGCTGAAATAATGCACATTGATCTTGTTCACACTAGCATCTGGATTATGTATCATTTTGTGTTCTTGTTGCCATTGGTTTACATTGATCGAAGCGCATCACTTCACATCAATCCACCTCTGGAGGTGAAGTGAAGGTGATGCGCATCAATGCGCATTAATTCAAAACCACTATAGTGTGAACACGATTAATGCGCATCAATGCGCATTACTTGTGCCAGTGTGAAAAGGCCTATAGACACCTACTTTTGAAACTAGCCCCCACTTCTTCCTTTGATCTAAAGTTTGCAAACTATGGTGTTCTATAACATTGCATCATCGAGCAGTTTTAATCTTTGAACATCTTTTAACAATTCAACAGTAGAATAGAAGTTTTACAACATTAATTATTATCTCTCTGTCTCTTAGTTTATTATCATTAAATATTATTAAATTAATAATTATTATAATTTTTCATGCGAATCCAAATCCCTCTGGACATTCTCTAATAGCAATTAATAACATTTCTTGTAATTTGTCATAAGTCTCGTAAGGAGGAAGATCTAATTGGTTAAAACTACGAGAGAGGGTAGAGAGAGAGGAAAGAGGGAAGTATAACGGTCAATGTCTCACACAATATTGCTCTTTTTCTTACCAAGTGTGAGCTGATGGTAATCTATCAGTCGATCTATCGTCGCGATGAATTTGAAACTTTTGCATTCCGTTCATTCCCTCAAGAGCGGCAAACCCCTGGAGGGGGACCTTTGAGGTACCAGTCACAAACTGGAGGAACCTCGCTCTATCAGACTGGGAACATGAGCGTAATGCACGCCAGAACCATTGTACCTAAAGTACGTGTAAAAATAATGAAATAAAATAGAAAATGACATACTAAATTTAACATTTTAAAACTATTATTTACAAGTATATATCAGTGTTTCTGTAATGACTTTACAATTCTAATAGAGTTAGGGGTTTATCCCCGTTCAAAAATTTGAGTTTACTCTAACAGCCAAGAACATAGACTGCTTTATACTGCTGGCAAGTCTCAGTTTTATACATAGTTATTTGTAAAAGCTCTCATGGGTTGGACACAATGTGGTTAACACTCATCTACTTGTGTAAACTGTAAAATTAATATTTCTGACAAAAAATTATTAATGTCACAAATACAGATCACAGTTACAAACTTTCTAAACTTAGTACACTTGCAAACATGTACATGTATACTGTACATATGACTTTCATCCTTCTCCCTAATTTCTCTCTCTCTCTCTCCCCCTCACCTGCAAAGATGTTTCAGTGTATTTATGATATTCTGTGTTCCCTTTAAGATCATCAATATCTATCGCAGGCAGGCCAGATATAAGTAATTCAAGCTCCTGCTCGTTAAATATCGATATCAGGTTCTTGGGTATGACGTCGTAGAAACCTTCCAAGAAACTCTTGATTTGAGATCTCACTGATCCGGTCATCTTCATCTGGCAGGCTAGCTGCACGTACTCTCTTTTATTTGATTCTGTTACGATTAGCTCACGACCATTTGGTTTAAGATCCTTTGTCTCTGTCTTACCAAATTCTTCAATCTAGAGGAGAGAGAGAAAGGGAAACATAACCAATACTATTATGATGGTTTAAATAATAATAATAATATACATGTACTTATTATAATTAATATTCTAACTTTTCCTTTACCATTTTAAATTCTAATTTTTCTACATCTAAGTGCATGCATTTTTAACCTGTTGTATTTCTAATTATTGTACTTTTAATAATAATAATGATAATGATAATACTTTCAGACCTTAATCACTTGATTCATGAATCACTATGCCATTTATAAGTATTAACATCAGTAATACTTATTATCATTAATTATTCTTTATTAACATGTACATGATTACCTCTACACTGAAGGTTAGTTCCAGCCCAACCTCATCAATATCATGCTCCAGTAGATACACCATCCCTTGATAGAAGGCATAGTCCTCAGACTCCATATCAGTATAGTGTACAGCCTTTCCCAATATGTGCTTATAGAAAGACCGCGTGAAATAGCAGTCCAGCAATTTATTGTCGTAGATAGCTTTAGCAATAATCCTACCAACAAACTTGAAGTAGTTGAGATGTTCCGGATTAATATGTGAGCTTGGATTAGGCATATAAGTCACACGATCTCCGGGCGTGGTCTTAAACAAAGCATAGTTAGGGTTGAACATTTCACGGGCTATGATGAGGTACCATTCCCGCAGCAACCCTCCAGCGTCTTGCCCCTCCTCTCCGTCAAACGTGATGTACAGGCTAGCCTTTAGTTCTTCAGGAGACCGACGGTAGAGTTCCCTGTAGGAGTCTTCGAAAACGTGACTACGTCGTATGTGAATGACTAGTTCGTCTCTCCTCAGTCCTTCTTCCATTTGCTCTAGCTCTTGTCTGAAGTATCGTCTCTTTACATCAAAGTCAAGGAGCCGCGTGTGGTTGACCAGGACAGAGAAGGGTCCTTCTGATAGGGGAATTGTCGTTTGTCTTAGAATCTGATTGAGGACAGTTCTGTGCCTCTCTATGGAGAGAGAGGGGGAAGTGTGAATAAGTGTAAAAATATAGGGACATCAATACGTATTTTGGAGTCATTTTTGGGAAAAAATTGGCTCTTTTTTTAAAAAAAAAAGCTCATAACTCAAAAAATACTTGTCAGAATCGGCTTAAACTTTGTACATAGCATAAGGACATCAATATGTATCATAAAATGTAATAAAAATTTGAGGTAATTTCGGAGCCATTTTTTTTGGAAAAAACCATGGGCTATATAGCCTTGGGTATTTTTCAGATTTTTGGCGTTTTTTAAAAATGGCCGTAACTTGAAAAATTAAAGTCGGAATCGGCTCAAACTTCCTACATAGCATAAGGACATCAATATGTATCAGAAAATGTAATAAAAATTTGGGGTGATTTCAGAGCCATTTTTTTGGAAAAAAGCATGGGCTATAGCCTTGGGTAATTTTCAGATTTTTGGCGTTTTCTTAAAATGGTCGTAACTTGAAAAATTGAAGTCGGAATCAGCTCAAACTTTCTACACAGCATAAGGACATCAATATGTATCAGAAAATGTAATAAAAATTTGGGATGATTCCGAAGCCATTTTTTTGAAAAAAAAAAACTATGGACTTTTCAGAAATCGGCATAATTTTTACGTGAATACACTCTTTGTTACAAATAGTACATGTACATGTACTACATAGCAGTAGTACTACACATACATGTACATTACCTGCAAATTTAAGAAACCGGGCTGTCTCAGGAGGTAAATGTGCATAGACATCATCAGTGGAGTCCGTAGCTAAAGGAGTGGATGGAACTGGACTCAAATGACTAACGCTACCACTAGCAGGAGCAGGGGAACCAGGGATACTCTCGGTATCGCTAATAGTATGAAAGGACGGTAGTCTTCTAGAGGCTGATGAAGACTGATGCCCACTCCTGTCTCCTCTACCAGGTGCTCTGGTTCCACTAGGAGTAGAGGAGTCCGTGGCTTCAGCGTGCACTAGGAAGAATGCTTCAACTGTTGGTTGCAGTGCTAGGACAGCGTGAGGGTCGTACGTACAGGCGAGAGCATCTAAACACTCGCTTAGCTTCGACCAGAGCACCTCCAGGTCTAACTGAGAGGAAAGGTGAGGGAGTGAGTCAGACTTTGACTCATCTTGTTCCTTTGAAGTAGCTGGCCTCTCTCCTCCTTCATTCAAGACTTCATCAACAGGAGGTATAGACCTCTCTCTGTCAAAGCCCCTCCCCTCTCCTCTAGAAGTCGGAGTCCCTTCAGCTCGGAGCATGGCTAGGGCCGAAGTCGTAGCTGCCGACTCTCTTAACTGACAGACAACTTTTAATAACCTTAAAAAGAAGGACTGTTGCGATCCTTTACATATGAGTGGCTCCATACAGGGTAGATGCAAATCACTGGAATGATCAACCACGCCTCTAGTACCTTGCACTGTAGGCAAAACAACACCTTCCACAGTTCCAAGTGACCCCGTTCCTCCTCTACTAGTGGGGGGAGATTCATCGTCATTTGAGACTTGACGTTTCATGACTGACGGCATGATTGCGTTGAGCTCCGTTAAAAGGGTAGATATCTGGGAGTGAAGGTGATGTCCTATTTCTTTAATACCTTCTAATAATATGAGCAGTATTGACTCTCTTGTAGACTGGCCACAGCGGGACAGATTAATGAGTAAACTAGTTGCATCGTCAAGAGTATCTTCAGAACACTTACCAGACGTTAGTAACGTAATGGTTCCTTTTAATAAACTAACTGATACCACAGACGATGAGAAACAAGACGGCTCTTCCCGTACGGGCGTGGGAAGGGGCGGAGGCTCTGTTGCCATTTCAACAGACGAGGGAGGGTCAATAGTGACAGTGACGGATGGCGTGACGGCACTAACTGTAGTGACGTCTACATGAATATGCTCTTCATCACTGCAAGCAACAGCGGACTTCTTCTCCTTTGAAATGTTAGCTTTTCTACTCAGGCCTTGTTTGGGAATGGCACCAGAAATGACGGAAAGGACTCTCAATAGTTTATCAACGAGAGACACGCTGGACTGTATCACCGAATGACTGAACAAAGACATTAACTGACCGATAGGAGCAGCTGCAAATAAATCAGACTCAAGTCGCTCCTCTTTGCTGTCTTGCGAATATTGAAACGTTTTTGTTGAATATTTGCCTTTTCTATGTGAGGGGGTGGACCCACTGGGATTAACAGAAGAGTCCAACTTAAACAATATCTGCCAGAAATTACTAAGGACGTCATTCGGCATAACCTCGTTACTCTTTTGAACAGAAGGCAACAGAGCAGGAGGGAGGAAAGAAATTGGAAACTGCCGAGCTAGAAATATCAGTAATTCAAGGACGTTGTTGCATATGGAATGACTGGCATGGGGATGTATGTGAACAGAGGGTGTGGTCACTTTACCATAACCACCAGAGAACTGGAGGACAGGAGCGTGAGAGCCTAGGGCAGCATTAATACTGACTGTTAGCCACTGGGGAGGGTGGGTGGAAGGAGGAGCCGTCTGACTGCCTATAGATCTCGTTTGACCGGTTAGAGAACTCGTTTGAGCTGAGGACGAGGACTGTTGGATGGAGAGGGTGGGAGGGAGAGGGCAGGTGTGAGAGAGAGGCGGAGACTGGGCTGTGAAATGAGCCTCTCTTATAATGGCAAGTAGGCTAGATATGACCCAGGAACGAGAGGGAAGATGCTGAGAGAGAGACCGAAATATTCTAAATAACCTATTAAAGTGTAATTTGCTTTGATCTAAGAACAGCAACACCAGAAGACAGACAAGCGACTCTTGATCAAGCATCTGTTTGGTGCCAGTCTCACCGCCGGTACTACTGTTGTTATTATCACGCATAAATGAGTGAGTGAAAGACGTTAGGCCGCTAAGAGGATGATCACCTGACGAGAGAATAGCATAACGTAACTGCCCAATCCTTGCACCAGTTCCTCCAGTACTAATGGCATGAGACCAAGAAGGTATTTGAATACGTGAGGCGATATGATGATGTGCTAGGAACTGTCTCCGTCTGTTCTCTCTCTCTTGTCTGATGACTCGTGCTTCTGCCGCTATCTCTTCCGGTAACTGATTCACTTGAGTGTCATCCATGTCAGACAGAACAGTCCGTCTTAGCTCTGGGGTTAGTGATGTGAAGAAGCTCATTGCGTCTGCTGGTTGGGACTGTCTGGCTTGTTCCATTCTCTGCTGCTGTATAACCTATTGAGAGAAGAGAAATGTACATGTGAAAACTAATAAAAATCATGTAATAATAATGTATTAAGAATGAATAAAAACAATAATAATAATAAATGAAAACAACAACAAAATAACAAAAAATCAATGTAATAATATTACATGTAAGTCCCTTACTTCTTCTTGTATATCAGGAGGCAGTGCAGCCAGCACTTCAGGGTTGATGGACTGAACTGATCCAGCGGTAGCCAGGACCCCAGGGGTAGCCCCTCCTCCTGTATTACCACGTCTACTGTTCCTCTGCTGCTCTCTTTCATACTGAGCCAACACCTCTTGTCTGATGGAGTCAGGGAGGGCAGCTAAGAAAGTTGGATCAATACCATCAGGTAAGTCTGAGCTACTACTAGAAGCCACTGCCCCAGTAGGTGCCTGTGATACTGGTATGATCTCTGAGCTAGCAGACACTACTGCAGTAGGCTGTGGATTAGTGGTAGCGCTAGTGACAGATGGAGTGCTATTGTCTAGTTGCATCGACTGTGAGTCATCATTACCAAGAGGCCACGTAATGCTGTGGACAGTCAATGAGCTACCGCCAGCAGAAGAGGATTGTAACTCGGAGGATGAGGGAGAGGAATATACTGCAGAGCTTCTTTGCTGAATACCAGAGTCTTCTTCAGTGAGAGGAGTAGCTTGAGAAGGAAGAGAATGTGGTGGCATTTGTAGGGAGGACATTAAAGGAGCCAGTGTATCAGAAGGGCTGGGTGAACCGGTAGAAGCTGTGGTGGTTGCTGAGAGAAATGGTACAACTGTCATCATAGAAGAGGAAGACACAGGAGGAGGTTGTAAGTGATTAGAACTAGGAGGTGAAGTGGTTGTAGGTGGTATAGTTGATTCCAGCGGATTAAAGACTGGATTTAAATGTGTTGATAACTCTCTAGCTAGAACATCAGCGAAATTAGACGTGGCTAATACACTAGTAGAAGCAACAAGAGGTAGAGGAGATATTACTGTAGTGGTGGTAACAAGGGCATCACTGCTAACTGATGAAGATACTGTACTACTAGTAGACTGAGGGAATGGTGGGGCAGTCTGCTCATGACTTGGTAGCAACTGTGTGAATACAGGGAGCCTTGAGGCAGAGGAGGAGGAGGGAAGAGAAGAAGGGGGAGAAGGTTGAACTGATGAGAGATTAGCAGGTTCAGACTGGCTCTCGGGAAGTGGAGGAGTAGGGCCTCGTGCTACTGCTGATAGAAACGTGTAGAGTGGATCGCTGGGATTGATCTGAGATAGCATTGCTCTAGCAGAAACTTGAGATCCATCAAAGGACGAGAGGTCAGGAATACTACCAACAGTATGACCTGGACTACCAAACAACAGAGGGTAACTAGAAATAGGCGTGGCACTGCTTGAGACAGAAGTCACATGACTAGACACTGTAGCAGCAGCAGCAGCAGTAGGTTCAGATGTTGCATCAGTTGACGAAGACGTCATGTGACTCTGCGCGTGTCTATTAACAATATCTGCTAGTACAGGGTCAATGTCGCTAGTTGATGGAGCCTGTGCTGTGTCAGTGTTCCTCATTTCAGCCACAGTTTGAGCTAGGGCGTCCGCTACTGCCCGTAAACTGCTCTGTAACTGCTCAACGGACCTAGAGCCATTCCGTGGGGTAGCAGTTGAGGGAGTGGCCTCGTCCGAAGGATTAGGAGCAGTGACTTGTTGGTCACTTGGAGGTCTTTCTTCTTCTCTCGTGCCCGAGGCCTCGGAAGTCTTAGGCTCTACAGTTTTTGAAGAAGACGACTGGGGCTCCGACTTTGTCTTGTTCTCTCTTTCTTGAAGATCGTCTTTTAGTTTCTGGAGCAATAAAGGTCTCAAAGCTCCTAAACAGACGTGGACAGTGTGACCATCAAGAGCTTGTGCCTCCTCCTTCCAGCGAGAGATAGAGTTAGGAATGTGTGTGGACTCAGGACTGTCTGATACTGAGGATGTGGGAGGGGCAGTGGGAGGAGCTAGTGTCGAGGATATGTGGTGAGTTGAATCATTAGTACGAGTACCTAAATGAAAATATTAATGAGATACATGTACAAAGCATGTGTGAATTTTAAAGTACATGTACATGTATGCATGTTCACAAAAAATGCTCTAAAATCTGGCTAAAGATCCTGTACTATTATAGTACAGGGTATTATGCTAAAAAGGCAATGTACAATTGTACATGTACGTACACAAATTTTGATCACAAATCCTCAAAATTACATTACTAGTAATACACATGTACTTACCTCCGCCTCCTCCAATGCTGAATGTCAGTACCTCATCAATACCAACAGAGTTACTAATATTAGTCAACAGTTGTTGTACAACATTAGATCTTGTCGCCTCAGACACGCCTCCAGTCACGCCCATTGAAGGAGGCGGGGCAGACGAAGGAACAAGAGGAGCATCACCTCTTGCCCGGACTAATAAAGGGTGTGAGCGAGGGAGGGAGGAGAGAGAGGAGGAGGGGAAGTTCCCGTCGGATAGAGGAGACCGAATGTGATAGGCACGAGACAGGAATGAAGCAGGGACGTGAACTCCAGGAAACAAATGCCCATCAAAACTCTCTGCCTCCCCTAATGGAAAAAATAATAAATACATTACATGTACTGTAATAACAAGTTTGAAAACAGCAAATTTTCTGTCATTTATTTTATTAACAATTTTGCTATTGAATATTAACTGTGTACTTTTACATGTGAAAGCAGTATACATGTACTGTATTAAGATTGTTCTATTTTCCTTTTCATCACTTACTCCATCCTCCAAAGTTCCAGGGTGGGAACTCCACATGAATCATGTCGTTGTCTCTCCTGCTGCTTATGTAGACGTCATCAGCTTCATCATAATCTAACTCAAGACCATCCTCATCCTCATCTTCATCTTCATCATCATCATCTTCCTCTTCTTCTCTCTCGTCTTCTCCATCAAATTCCTCTGCTTCGAGCTCAAACGTTTCGTCAACAAGATTCTCGCCTTGACCCTGTCCACCGGAGGGCATGTCACCCATGGTCATGGTGTCATGGAGGAAGCTGCTGTCAGAATGATTTTGATCATCTTCTTCTTCTTCTTCGTCCAGTCCTTCTCCTTCCTCTTCCTCGTCCTCTTCTACTGTTGTATCAGGACTGCTTTGATCATCATCATCATCATCATCATCATCAGTGACACTGGTATCTACATGTACATGTACATGTATATTAGGGAGGGAGAGAGGTACATTATAATGATTTCTATCAAAACTACATGTACATGTACATGTACATTGTGAGATATTTAAAACATTTAAACAGATCAATTTTAAAAGGGTTGAATCTTTTTTAGTTTAAACTTTGATATTCTTTTTGGCAAATTTAGTGAGGGATCATTAAAATACATCCAACAAAGAGGAGACATGTAAAGTTTATACATGTACATGTACATGTACCTCTATCTTCCATGTTTTCATCGTCCTCATGTTGGTAGGCTCCGCCCCCACTCCCATGCCTCCTACGAGGCTGATAGTAAGTGCTGTTCTGGCTCATGTCAAAATCGTCTTCAATCTCTTCGCCGGCAGAATTAATGTTGTCATCTTCATCGTGTTCGGCATCTTCCAACTCGTCGTCAATGTTGCTACCACTGTCAGAGGGAAAACCTGAGAGAGAGGATAAAAAATCAAGGGATTTAAAGAGAAACTTGAGTCCAGTGCTCCCAAATTTCTCTTTCACATGCATACATGTACATGTACATGTACATGTAGAGTTACATATACAGTACATGTATATAACTGTTACATATATAATGCCATACAATTATGTTATTGTTATTATTATTGTTGTTGTTGTTATTATTATTATTGTTGTTGTTATTTACTGTTTGCGCTGTTTTCAAACATTTCCAGTGGATTATTAGAACTGGGGGAATGCCCTGGACCTCTTTCCAATAACTCATCCACAATTTCCTAACAAAAAATATTAATAATAATAATATTATTAATAATAATAATATTATTAATAATAATAATATTATTAATAATTACATGTACATGTATATGAAACAAATAGTGGTATTATTATTATTATTATTATTATTATTATTATTACTACTACAGTACTACTACTACTACTACTATCATTATTATTATTATTATTATTATTATTATTATTTACTTCAAGTAGATTCCCAGGGTCTTGATTATATTCCCTAGCTGCCTGTCCACACCTCATCCCCAGCTCATGAGCTAAGGACATTGCTTCCTCTACTAGCGACTGGTCGCTGATGTCTTCATCATCTTCATCTTCTTCAATTTCATCAGCTTCCCTCTCTCTCTCCTCCTCACCATCCTCTCTCAATGGAATCAGGCTATTGTCTAACGGAGTAACTGGAACTGAATGATCTACAAACAACAACAACAACAAAGAACAAAATATTGATACTGTGCATAAAGAAAAATATTTATCACAAAATTACGCTGTACCTCTTGTCCCTCTCACTGGGGTAGTAAGTGAACTGGAGTTCATCAAAGGTAAGACCAATGGGTCAATAGGGAGAATGGGATGAGATGCAACTGGTGCAGTACTAGTAGATGCTCCTCCTCCTTCAGTTGATGATGATGATGATGTAACTGTTGTCACAGGTAGTACAGGAGGATTAGCTTGTGAGGTGGTACCTGAAGCTAAGCTTGATGAGAGTGGGTCTGGAAGAGGCGAAGACACTCCTTGCTGAAGATTAATTTGTTCTGATCCTCCAACTGCCCCTCTAGCTCCATCTCCCCCAGCACTAGGAGTAGTACTGCTAGCGGTAGCAGCAGCAGCTGTGGTGGCTCTCTTCTGGGCTGCTACAAACTGAGTCACTATCTTAGTCAGACACTCAAGTGGTTTGAGTATAGAGTTAATGGTGGTTGTTAGAAGAGGGCTGCACAGATCAAGAGAGTGGACAGCTTTAGCAAGGTCGGTAATGAAACCTTTTCGTATTAACATCCGTACAAACTGAGTCGGGTTGACAGTCGAACGGGTTGAGCTACTCGTCTGTGGCTCTACAATCTGCCCAAGAAGACTAGCCATGGCCCGTATGCGATGATGCTTTAGCTGGGACTCTACAAGGTTCAGAGAGCGAGTGAAGGCTGCCCTGAACTCTGTTACAAATGAAGAAAGAGCGTCAGTTGGTAGGGGAGCAGTGGCAAGGCACTGGAGGAAGACTTTGGAGAGTTTAGCTACCTGAGTAGCACTACTGCCTTGCATGTAAGAGACTGGAAGTAAATGATCAAATATGAAGGCTAATATGGACATCACCTAACAATAGATAATACAAAAAGAATGACATATTATATACACTGCAATAATACCACAGGCAAAATTTTGAGCAATAGCTATTACCATATACATCATGTAGCTACTGTAGGTGGCCCAAATTTTTTGTGAATAGCTAGTGAAATTAGCTTAATGAAAGAGTACATTTGGGGGGGGGGGATTAAACGAAAATTAACAAAAAATTGGGCCATAAAAATTTCTAGCTATACATGTATGGTACATGTAACAGTCACAAAACATGATTCCAGTGTACAACTGTACCTTTGTAGTCTGTGAATTATTTTGCCCAATCTTTATTTTCCTGTTGCTCTCAATAATCAAACGTGAAGTGGCCGGATAAGACTCTATTAACTCGGCTAGTAGCCTCAAAATGGCCGCTTGAGAAAACAGCAACTGCTCTCTTCCTCCCTTCTCCTCCACCTCTTTGTTACCCTCGTCTTGGACAAGAGGAACTTCCCGTCTCGACCCTCGTCCTTGCTCTGGAATGTTATCAACATCAAGAACCATATCCTCCGAGCGAAGGTCATCGTTTGTTACTTGACGACGATATGAGCTACGTCTAACCCGAGGGTTGTTACCCCCTCCTCCTCCAGCCCTGTACTGTACCACAGGAATAGACAAACCATCTATTAAACTATCTTCCTCCATCTTTGAGTGGGCGTGGTCAGACCCCTCACCCTCCAAAAAGGTCGAAGCACACAACTGATCCAGTAATAAGTTTATCAAGTTTACATGGAGTGGAGATAAAGAGGCGGAGTCTTCGGACTTAGCCCCGCCTACTTTTAACACAATTGGCATAAGTCTTTGGGTTGAATGGTAGTCTTCTATGCGTGGCGGGGCGGATGAAAGTTGTGCAACACGGGAAAATATCGACACAAAGAGTTCTTTATTCCTCGTAATACAAGGACCTAGCCTGCGTAGGACCACATCAAAGTCCCTCCGTCCCAAACCGTGGGCTTTTATCTCAGTGTCAGGGCTGGTTCCGCTCACAACTGAGCGAATCATAGACTCCATCTCTGACTCTAACAGTGAGCCGGTGTCAAGGATATGTCGCAATAGGAGGGCGGAGAGAGACGAGAAACCTTGAAAGGAGTTCTTCTTTGTTAGCTGGAGGAGGTGCATTGGGCCCTCCTCTTCCATGAATAGAGCTGCCAAGTGAGGCTGTCTCGTTAGCGAGAGGAGGAGCCTCATATTAGCATGAAGAGTATCAGGATCAATTGTACACGATAACAAACGAGTACAGGACCTGAAGTACAGAGAACAAGTACACTATACTAACTTGAGTTCATACTACTAAAAATACAGTATACAGAATCAAAAGTGGACTTCAGGAATAAGAAGTTTGTAAATGTACATGCACTACTACTACAGTATTATTGGTATTCTAAACCTCATACATGTAAGTGCTTGATACCATCTATCTGGAAATTTTTACTGTCGTTTAAATTTTACCGAATTAGAATTTTGCAAAAATTAGATCACCCGTATAATTACATGCCCCATTCAATAATACACGACACAGTCTTAATTTAGTAAAAATTAAATCACAGCACAATAAAACACAATGATTTTCTGCAGCACTAATTTCCTGATCTAAGGTACTCTGTACATGTACATCAAATTTTTTTCTAGAAGAGAAGTCAGTCAATTATTGTCTTACTTTACAACTGCAAGGGACTGCTCATCAGACAGACCTACAAACCAGCCAGGCTCTAGATGAGAGAGAAAGAGGATAGAAGTGTAATTTTACTAGTGAGTTACTTTTAAAGGAGGAAAGTTGAGGTATTTCATAGGGCATTAGTGAACCATCTTGCTTCTTTCGAGGGATTTCAAGTCTAATAACAGCTCTTTGAGTGTTAGTATCCAGATTAATCTGAGGAGAGAGGGAGAGAGAGAGAGAGAGAGAGAGAGAGAGAGAGAGAGAGAGAGAGAGAGAGAGAGAGAGAGAGAGAGAGAGAGAGAGAGAGAGAGAGAGAGAGAGAGAGATGCATTATTAATGTTCTGTTATCATACCAACTACCTCCAATGATGCAGTGATGGCCGAGTGGTTAAGGCGTTGGACTCGAAATCCAATGGGCTATGCCCGCGCAGGTTCGAATCCTGCTCACTGCGCTTTTTTTATTTTTAACCCTCTTATTTTCATTTTTTTTCAATTCCTTTTTAAATTTATTTTTTACTTCTTGACACATCTTACAAAAATTTTTCTTTATTTAAAACATATGTACATGTACATGTGGTAATTTACTAAAACACACAATATGCATTTACATAGCATGTAAGATTACTGAAAGATTACTGAAAGATTACTGAAGCAATCCTTACCTGCAACATGTTACTAAACTGTATAACGGAGCGCTGCCTTGAAGTTTGTATCCTAATAATTTTACTGATCATAATTATTAACTTAATCAATTATTTCCAACCTTGCCATTGAGTCGCCATCTTTGTATGCATTTTCAATATTTTTGTTAATGTCGCTCGAAAAGAAACACCACCTGCTGTTCATGCTTTCAAAACACAACCAAACGCCATTACAATCCTAAAATAACCATCAAAATTAACAATATGTGAATGGGCATGGCTATTAATTAATTGGGCGTGGTTACTCATTAATTGGGCGTGGTCATTACCTTATTAGGAGGTCTGTGCCAAGTTAGAAGTGTCTCCATTCCTTGCCAAAGTTCTAGTACCAGCAAAAGTGGAGACAACCACCTGGAAAGTAATAAATAATATACAATGTACATGTACATGTACATATGTGAACTAACAAAGGTGTTGCTGGAGTGTTATTATTATCAGTAGTTCCTCCTCCTCCTTTCTTAATGACTGACCATTTCTCTTGGACGGTGCTCAATAGAGTAACAATTTGAGATAAGATATCACTAGAACATAGTATTGAAGAACACACCAATGGCATCTCCTATAAATGAAAATAAGAATTGTCATATTAACAAGAGATAGAAAGAGGCGTGTTTATGTACATGTACATAAACATGTACATACATGTATATGTATATGTACATGTACATATAGATTGCTGTACCTCCATTATTAGAGCTAAGAGACAAATGTAAAAAGCATTAGAGTCTATTGGGCCAGTAGTGAGTTCATAGCTTCCATCATTGAGTTTCTTCATGACGACAGACATTGCTTCCATTGCCTAAGAAAGAGATTCATATGTAGTGCAGTACGAACAATAAAATTTTATTAATTGATAATGTAAATACAGATGTACATGTACATGACGTAGCTGTCCTTGTGCTTTTAATACAGCCATTGTAACACTAAAATCAATCATTAGTACACAGCTGGTACATGTACATGCATATACATTGTACATGCGTATACATATAAGCAATGGCGGCTTTAAAACTAACTTTAAGTTTTATCTTCTCTAGAGCAGCACTCCTCCACTGGCTGCCATTACGCTCACAGAGAGACGAAATGAGATCACAAGCTTTATACACAGTTCCCTCAATCAAAGGAATAGCAGTTAATAGACCTTCTAGGAGGTCTTCGCTGAATTTAGTTAGAACTGATCCATCAAGAGGCTTAAGAGTGTCACTGCTGCTAGTTGAAGGTGAAGTGGTCGGTTTCTCTTTGGGTTCCTGCTCCATTTTTTCATCAGTTGGTGGCTGTTGGAGGGAGAGAGCAATAGCTTGAGCTAATTGTTCTTCTTCTGTCATTGACTAAAAATAAAAGTAGAAATAAAGAAATGTATACGTGTACATGTTAAAGAAGAGAAAGGGAAGAAAAAGAAACAGAAAAACGAGAGAGAGAGAGAGAGGGAGAGAGAGAGAGAGAGAGGGAGAACACACTCTAGTATCAGCAGCAGAGGATGAAGGAGGGTGGGTGAGTATCCACTCCATTGAAGCAGCGAGGTTATTACCAGTAGCTAAGAGAGCCTCTTCAGCATGGAGCTGCTCAAATCCCATATCCATTAACTAATGAAATCACATGATAGTCACATGATGGTTAAACTAGTTCTCACCTGTTGTAAGTGTAAAGGGTCGGCCCGAGGGATAAATGGAGCAGAAGGTGTTTCAGGGACAGCTGGTGTTGAGGAAGAGGAAGAGGTGGCACCTCCGTTGAGTTCATTCAATTTAGTTTCAAGTAACTGGATGTACAAAAGAAGCAAGTACATGTACACAAAATTTTAAATCCATAGGTAAATATTTTAGTCGGAAGTACATGTACATGTATACTACATGTACATGTAGTTCTAACTTCGCAAAAATACATGTACATGTCAGAAAAAATTCCTAGCTATTCTGACAAAATAGTACACTGATTCTGATCAAAATTGGATTTTTTATGAATTTTTAAAGTTGCTCTAAAATTGGTCCAAAAATTGTCACAAATTTTGTGACAATGGAACTAATGGGTTTTTGCTTGTCACGGATTTTGTGACAGTGGAACTAATGGGTTTTTGCTTGTCACGGATTTCGTGACAATGGAACTAATGGGTTTTTGACGCAAATAGTATGCATCAGGGAAAATTATAAAACTGGAGAATTCTCAGATCCTTTTTTGATTTTGGCAAAATATTTTTAGCAACTTTGAAAATTCAAAAAAGCAACTTTAATCTGAATCAGCTAAAACTTAATACATGAAATAAGGTGCATCAGAAGATACAGCACATGTACATGTACATAACAACTACCTTTTCACTGGAGTAAATGTGCTTGATTGTAGTTAGCAAATGTTCAGTCATTGCTGGCGTTGCATTGTTCAGTTTTAAAGTACCCCAGAGCTTCTGTACGCATGGAAATATCGCCTAAGACAAAAATAAAAAATAATATGATCATCATCATCACAATACATGTACTGCATACATTCTGTGCTTTCAATATAAACTCCAAGGGATTGAACAAAGGATTGAAATTAAGTTTCTTGGAATGTCTACAAGACGGAGGGGGAGGAGGAACAGGGAGGGTGTGGCTCGACTCCAGTATAGCCGAAGCATTGATTAGCTTCTCAGCAAGATTAAGCCATGCCTCTAAGAAGTCCGAGGCCACAGCATGATCGGGATTAACAGAAAATGAAGCCCATAAAGGATCTGCATTAGCTCTCTCAATATGCTCAATAGCAGTATAAAAAGTCCTAAAAATAAATAATAAATAAAATACATGTACATGTACATGTACATGTATCATTAACATGAAAACATGAAACACACGTAGAACATGAGTCAGAGATGTGTAACATGAATCACGTTTCTTGAATCTTGCACATGATTTATTACATGAAACATTGATCCCAATTTTGAGAAAACCAGTACTTTTTTGTACTAATTCTTCCAACAGGGCATGTACATGTATATGAACATGTACATGTAAATGTTACTACAGTCTGCTAGCATCACATGACACAATGTCACGTGACATAATTCCACAAACTGAAGTTATTCAATATAGCACTCGACCCTATTGCAAACCAGTGAACATACACACATCACTGCTGCTACACACACAGAGTGCAAATATGTACATGTACATGTACTGTAAAAACATGTACATGTACTGTAAATACATGTACATGTATACATGTCTATCACTTACTTGATGAATGATTCCAGTACGTTCTTTTTAGCGAAGGAGTGCAGCATGAGATGGTACGGCTGAGCGTGTTCATCAAACAATAGTAACAGACAAAAATCAACGGCATACATCTTGAACGTCATACTAGATAAATAAAATAATAAAAATACTAATATTGTGGAGCCAGAAAAAAAAACAAAATACGTGTACATGTATGTACATGTACAGTACATTTTGCTTCATTCTGTGCATACTCAATGAGATGTGGCTACTACTCTGTCAAAAATAATACACATGTACATGTACAATTCAAGCTATACAACAGTTTTGCTATTAGGTACAGGCTCAGATTTTTCTTTCACTTCCCCCTCTCTCCCTTACCCAGAGAATAGCCATTTCTTAGCGTCAGAGTTGGTAAAAACAGAATCTCCTTCTTCTTCGTTCTCGTCTTCAGTTCCCATGGGAACAGGCACCACCCACGTCAGACTCTCTAGCAATAAATCAGTTACTTTCATGCTAACGGCCACAGCATTATCAGACAAAGGAACGTAAATGGGTGTGGTCATTCCCGCCCCTCTTCTAGCCGGTCTTTGAAGAGGACCTGTTGAGAGACGGACCAAAAGACTCATCAGTTCAGCAAGAGACCGGCCGACACGTGACGTAACTACAAGAGGAGGCGTGAACGACTTTAGAGTTGATATGAACGATTTTGCTTCTTTAGTCACACCTTCCCTGTTTCCAAATAATGCCCCTCTAGAAAGAGCCTCCTGTGAGGCGGATCCTTCTTTTAACGAGCTGGGTGTGGTTTCATCGTTGACCGAAGCAGCCGCTAGGACGATGAACCCCTCCCAAACAAGAGAGCGATAGAGTTTTGATAATTGAGAAAGGACATCAAGACCAGTTGGAGTAGCCCACTGCTGTATACACAACTGACGGGACTCAATCTAAATAAACAAACAAATAATGATAAATAAATAAATAAATAATGATAAATAAATAAATAAATAATGATAAATAAATAAATAAATAAATAAATAATAGATAAAATACACGTACACCTACACATGTACATGTACTGTACATGCATAGTCCACTAGCTTTTACTAGCATATACAAGTTAAATGTTTTTAAAGTACATGTACATGTACATGTACATGTACATGTACATGTTTTGGTACTAATTTTAGCTTTTTCTATAAGTTTAGTAACTGTACATGTACAGTAACTACTGTATTATTAATAAGCAATGATCTACATGTACATGTACATGTATAATTATACATGTAACTTCAATAACTTTTAAAAATAATTTTGATTGTAAAATCCTTGCTGCTAGTAGACTTTAAGCTTGCTAAAAAAGCAATTACAATTTGTACATGTACATGTACATGTACATGTACATGTACATGTACATGTAGGAGAGCTACAACTTACTTGTGCGCATTTAGACAAGTTAATAAATAGCTGAATGTAGCCACCGGCTGAAGAAAGGTTGTGTAATAGTGAGGACTGCTCCGGAGAAGAGTAGGAATTAACCTCCTCGAGAAGGACTGACTGCTTGGCTTGCTCTGGGGAGTCAATGAATGGCTTCAGCTTATTAATGACATCAGAGAGTTGGGATAGACCTTCGGAGAGTAACTTGGTACTATGAGAAACGTTCTGAGAGAAAAAGAGACGAATAAAATAATAAATAAATAAATAAAATTGTGAAATAATAAATAAATAAAATTGTGAAAAACTTATTCTAGTTATACACTGTACATTCTCCGCAAATTTTAGTGCTACATGTACATGTAATTGTAAATGTATTGTGTATGGTTGAGGAGTGACTCACTAGTATTGATTTGCAGGCGGAGGTTATGGAATTACAAGCAGAAGAGGTTGGGAAGCTGAGAGGGAGTGCAGGAAGAGAGAGGAGAGAGAGAAGAGGCTTGAGACCATCATTGAGTATAAACTCATTAATGTGATCATCGGATGAGCTAGTGCTAAGAATAGCATCCACAAAATTAACAACATTAAGAGTGAACTCCGTCAGTGGGAGGGAGGACGCACTAGAGAGAGAGAGAGAGAGAGAGAGAGAGAGAGAGAGAGAGAAAAGGAAATAAACAATAATAGTAACATTATTTTATTATTAAAATTATTCTTAAAATCATGGACTATTATAATACTCTACACATACATGTACGTGTACATGAACAACATAAAAGAACAAATGTACAGTATGTACATGTACATGTACCAGCAAAATAGAAAAAATTGTATTGCAGATACATGTACATGTATGATTGTACATGCATACATTTACATTTACATGTACATGTAGGAGAATTTTTACCGTCTCTTCTTAGCCTTGACTCTGCCTTCTTCCTCTTCGTCCCCTTTCTCTTCAAACATTTCCTCATCTTCATCGTCAGTTTCATCATTGGTAACAACATCATCCTCCGATTGGTGGGAGGACTTGGCCACACCCTCTACCCCGCCCACTCCAGTCTCGGCAGACACGTTACTACCCATCTGACATAACTTGTTGAGCAGCTAAAGAAGAAAGAAATAAACCAAGTACAGGGCAAATTTCAAGGGGATTTTTTTCAAAAATTGGCCGATTTTTTCCTGGGAGAAATTACATGTACCTGTAAAATTTTTTTGATAAAAATTAAAATTTCTGAGAACAAGAAATTTATTTTAATTGTTCTTCTCTTACCCTCACTAAAGCTTTCATTACACTTGATTTGAGTAACGGCTGGTGTCTCATTAGTTCATCCATTGCTGAGCCAAGATTAGAGGCAGTATCACCTAAAAACAACATCAGACAATTACTTGTACATGTACATGAATAATATAAGTGTTGTAGCAACTTCAGTGGCTGCAGAAAAAACATTAAACAAAAATAATAAACAATAATAATAAATAATAATTTATTAAGACATTGTACTTGTATGTACAAATACATGTACATTGTATAACAATAAAATTTATAACAAAATGGATGTACATTGTACATGTACAGTAGGAATATGAAATAAAAATATAATATAATCACATAAAATATCTATCACACACACGTACCCAGGGGATCATTCCCTCTTTTGCGTCTCATTGCTGGTAGGTAGTCGGACGATATCAATACTCCAAATAAATGATCAAAAGGTTCGGCTTCAATGAAGACCTGAAGACCACGAGCATTGAGACATATAGCACTCAATATACTGGGAAGGGAACTAAGGACTTCACGAGTAACTGGGATCTAAGGAAGTGGGAGGAATGTATCAAAAAATGCAATAAAAATTTGGGGTGATTTCGGAGCCATTTTTTCAAAAAAAACCATGGACTATAGCCTTGGGTATTTTTCAGAATTTTGGCAATTTCTTAAAATGGCCGTAACTTGAAAAATTAAAGTCGGAATCAGCTCAAACTTTCTACACAGCATAAGGACATCAATATGTATCAGAAAATGTAATAAAAATTTGGGGTGATTTCGGAGCCATTTTTTCAAAAAAACCATGGACTATTATAGCCTTGGGTATTTTTCAGAATTTTGGCGATTTCTTAAAATGGCCGTAACTTGAAAAAGTAAAGTCGGAATCAGCTCAAACTTTCTACACAGCATAAGTGCATGAATATGTATCAGAAAATGCAATAAAAATTTGGGGTGATTTCGGAGCCATTTTTTCGAAAAAACCATGGGCTATAGCCTTGGGTATTTTTCAGATTTTTGACGTTTTTTTAAAAATGGCCATAAGTCGAAAAATTTAAGTCAGAATCACCTTAAACTTTCTACACAGCATAAGGACATCAATATGTATTAGAAAATCTAATAAAAATTTGGAATGATTTCGGAGCCATTTTATGGGAAAAAAAACCATGGGCTATAGCCTTAGGTATTTTTCAAAATTTTTGGCATTTTCTTAAAATGGCCGTAACTTAAAAAATTAAAGTCGGAATCAGTTCAAACTTTCTACTAGAGCTGAAACAGATATCCTGATTATCCGGATATCCGTTTATAAATTTAGTATCCGGATAGTAATTTTTGACAAATAGGATAATTAAACTTAATAACTAGACTTTATAACTAATTAATGCAATTCTGTCAGTTAATGACCAGCAATAAAAGAGTAAGTTCTTGAAGCTACCAACCTTGTCAGCCACTTCTTAATCATTTTTGAGCTTCTTAACTACCAGAAATGTACAAGAATAACATCCTGGGGAATAAAAACTTTGCTTTTTTGATGTCTGCAGTCACTAACTAATTAACTTTTATTAATTAACTATCCGGCAAATATCCGAAAGAAATTTCAACAGGATATCCGGATAGTAAAATACCACATCCGTTTCAGCTCTACTTTCTACACAGCATAAGGGCATCAATATGTACATGTACATGATGCACATGCAAGGAAATGCTTCTCTTACTTTTTTATTAATCAGCGAATTAAGTATTATCCATGGCAGTCCATTGTCCTGTAGTGGTGTCAGTTGGGACGGATCATGAAATATAAATGTTGTAGCAACTTCAGTCGCTGCAGAAAAAAAACAATAAATGATAAATAATAATGATTTATTAAGACGACAATAAACTCCAACTCTCTTCCTTTCGTCCTAACCAGGTAGGTATATCGATGGTCCATAGTATTCAGCATTGCTTGCTATATGAGCCAATGAGCCCGGCAGTGAAGAATCAACAACTAAAAGAAATATGGAAATGTTTTAAGTTTCACAAAATCAATAAAAAGCAATTTTTGGGGTTTTAATTTTTCGCAATTTTCTACTTTTGCAGCTATTTTTAATCAATTTTTGCAGACTTTACTTTCATCTTAATTACACGTACATGTCTCTTTACTTGTATTTTAGACGCATATACATGTACCTACACGTACATGTACATATGTACATGTAATTATTAACTCACAATTTCTAATGTTTTCAGTAAAAGTTGGGTCTGGTACAGCTTTCTTAACGAAATTAAGTATCGACTTTATGAGAGCTGAACGTTCGGGCATGCACTGTACGCCCTCAGCCACGCCCCCAGCCCCACCTCCAACACTACTTCTAGCCCCACCCCCAGTAACTGGCTCTAATGAAGTAGGAGGAGCTTCAGTCTCCATTTCTGCTGACTCAGGAGCCGAGCGTACAACAGGTGACAGGAGGTTGGGTACGTCTCTCTTGCATTGCTCAATTTCCTCTTGTAACCGTAGCAACATCTTGTCCCACCCACCCAAACTGTGGAATGCAGTCATGTCCAGGTTAGTGATTAGGTCAATGACTCTGACAGCTCTAGTAACCAGCTGGAGGGAGAAAAAGTAACATGAATTACATGTACATGTACATTTACAAGCAGTAGAAAATTTTGTTTTAGCAAAATTTAACTAATATGCATAGTACATGCATGTACATGTAAGTTTGCTAAAATTTTTAATGGATCTTTCCAAAAGCAATTTGTCTATAGAGTTTCATCATTCATCATGAAAACTTAAAAAAAAATAATGATGATACTAATAATAGGACACTGACTGTTATATTAGTAGGTTCGATTGCTTTCCATTCCAGTACCAAAAGGAGTGACTCCATTATCCCACTGTTAACTAATGCATCTCCACCTACAGTACAGTAGTGATTATAAAGTCATGTGAGAGTCATGTGACAGAAGAAGGCGTGGCTGTCAACTCACTAGCTTCGTATGTTGCCAAGTGGTAGAGAAAAGAAAATAACGAAGTTGCAAAGAACAAAGGAAAGTCAGTACTTCTACCATCTGGACCTACAAAAAAATAAAAATTGTCTTATCAATAAAATACACATGTACATGTGTATTTTATTGA